GTGTGCCTCTCTTAAGAGCTAGTTGATAAAAATTATGTCTTGTGAGATCGGCAAGTAGTCTGCAAAGTGAAATAAGAACAGAAATTAACAGATGAAACTGAAGTGAGCAGTCGGAGTGGGGAAGGGAGGAAGCGGGGGAGACCTCTGGTCAGTTATGACGATCCTAGACTGGCAGCTGAGCTAGGTGCCAGCTGGGGTGACACGGGGCATGGGGAGAAGGAGCTGTTTCCACCGCGGGGAGCTGCCATCAGTCTCCCTAGAGAACTAGTCCCCACGACAATGACCGGCTAAGTGTCCACTCTCTCAGAATGCCTCCCTGATTCTCACGGGGCCCTGGGGTGGGCAGGCAGGGGCTGCTAACTGCCGGCGGTGTGGTCCAGGGAGGTCTGCCACCCCTCACCCTACCCATCACACAGGGAACATGAGGCACCACTGAGAGCACTCTCTGGACCCCTAAGCAGACGAGCCGGACGATCAGACAGGATACGGTCAGGTGACTCTTTGTAAAGAGGTCAGACTGCAATTTTCCAAAAGGGGACCCCAGCTGTCTGGTTTAAAGTGGAAAGAGGACGAAGAATTTTGGGTGTTCTCTAGGACTTGGGTGTCCTGTATTCTCTGGCCAGCAGTCCCCATGCCCCTGCTGGGGTGAACCCAGAAACAGGCTGCGAGGAGCATGGGACCACGCAGCACAAGGGCGGCGGAGGCGGGAAGTTGGAAGTGGGCACACAGTGAGGACATCGAAACAGACCACAGAAAAAACCACTGGGACAGTTCGGTGGTGACGTCAACTGCACCAGTGTCTGTCACGAAATCATAGGATCCCCAGGGTCGGGGAGGGGTCAATAGAATCTACCTGAGAGGGCTGTGAGTCAGGCCTCCCCATCTTTGGGTCCTCTCCTGCAACCTAGTCACCTTGGCCGGATGTGCTAGAAATGCTCCTTACAGGTGTGAGGTAAGAGGCAGATACCAGAACTTTCCAAAGCTTTCCTGCCCCAGAGATGGTGGCTCCAGGAGGAGTGTAGTTTGGTTCTAGAGAAGAAAACCAGAGCTCTTCACTGGCAACGCACAGGGGTCTCCCAGACTTTGTGTCTGGAGCCCCTCCCCTGTTTAGGGAGGTGTCTGGGACAAGTGGACGGCGACAGTAATCCATAAGGGGCAGCTCCTCTAGGGCGAGCGTCAGGTATGAGGTGGACTCTGAAACCAGCCTGACTCCTCACTGAAGCGGGTGGGGCCAGCCACTGGGCCCTCCCCGGCCCAGGGCCACTCACACTCTTGGACCATCTGAGAGCAGGTGGCTTCACTCTGTGGCCACCAGTGGCCCTTTCTGACCATTGGTTATGAGCCTTCTGTGGCGTGAACAGGAAGGATGGAGAAATGGAAAATTTGTTGGCTCAAAAGAGAACAGAACAGCTAACTCTCGCGGGTCAGGGGACCCCTCTCTGCAGAGTTTAATGCCCGATTTCTGTCCCATTCAAGCCCAGCTGATTGTGTTAAGCTGCAGGAGCTGGTGACAGTGATAAACAGCGGAATCTGGGCATAAACATTCCAATTCCATCCCCATCTCCTGCCCCATGGCCAATCCTCTCGGTCCCAAAGCCTTGGCTTTCAGTGAAAGGCTGGGGACCCAGGGGACCGCAGCTCCTCCTGCCTTGCCTTGGTTTAGTCACTCTTGCATGTCCATCTGCCTGGGCAGATCCAGGGATGGTCACAGGGACAGTTCTACCAGCTGACTCTGGAGCGGCTCACAGGGACACTGCAGATGGGCCCTCAGATGGGACAGGAGCCTCAGCATAGGGGCCACTTTGTCGCCCCAATGTTATTCCACATTAAGACCCCCCAGCTCTGCCCTCGGGGACAGCACTGCACTGAGGAGCAATGGCAACCTGACTCCAAGGGGAGGCACAGCTCAGCATTGCTCTGGGCGAGCTGAGGCACGTGAGCCTGGGGGGGAAGTGAGAAGACAAGCTCCCCCAGACTGGCCACCAGCTTCTGGGCCAAGCGGGACAGAGAGGAGTGGGAACAGGGAGGTGAGTGCATGGGTCTCTGCAGAGGGGCAGTGCCTGCCTGCACATGTGGGTGTGGGCTGCGCACCCCACTGCCTCCTCCTTTCCCAGGAACAGTGCCGACAGAGCTTTCCAGGCTGATGGAAATGCTCTGCAAGCTGCACCGACCAGCACGTTTGTCCCGAGTAATGGAAGTGTGGCTACCCTGACTGCGGAGCCGAGTTTCCCTTTTATTCATCTTAATTTAAATAGAACTTTGGTAGTTACACACAGCCAGTGTTACTGTACTGGGCAAATGGACGTTAGGAGAACGGAGACTATGGCAGTGAAGACCCAGACTGCCTGGGTTCAAATCCTGGCCCTACCCCCTGACCCCTATAAGCCCTGGAAGGGGGTTTTCTACCCCTCTGTGCCTCAAGGTTTCTACCAGTAAATGGGGAGACTCTGTTGCCCGAGAGTGGGCACCGCTTCCTGTGGGGGTGCTCCAGGGTGTGCTCCCTTCTTTCCTTCAGTCTTTGGCCAACCCAAGGCAGCTTCTGCTATAGGGGAGCTGCAGGGAAGGCTTCTTTAGGACAGGCCGAGGGCCCCATCAAATGCAGAAACTGTCTCAGCTCCAGGCCCACTTGTGGGGGATCCCCAACATTCTCGCCCCGCCATCTCCAACTTCTGCTACCGTACTTACCTCCCCCTACTCTCTAACCCACCCAATCGGGTAGGTGCACAGGCCCCAAAGACCATCCCACTCTAGCCCCCCTGTCTACAGAAGAGAGAGTGAGGCCCAGAGAGGGTGGGTGACTTGTGATGGCCTGTCGTCCAGCTGCTGTCAAAGCCAGGACAAGAGCGTAGGGCTTCCATTGCTGGCTAAGGGACCTATCCGCCACGGGGCACAGCTCTGTGTCCCAAATGCCTCCTGCCCTCCCCACGCACTCCCTCCCTGTCCCTAAGCCTGGTCTGAGGAAAACGTTGGCTGAGCCATCAGCCTCGGAGCACATCTCCCGGGGCCATGGCTTTGCTCCGGTTGCTTTCTGATTCCACTCAGACCCTGACGCCCCCAGAACTCTGAGGATATGCACAATGACCAGCCAGGAGTGGAGCCCCACCTACTGCCCAGGTGCCTACGGTGCTCCTCCCTGGGAGCCCACAGAGCACAAGGCTGTGCTCGACACCTTCTCCAGAAACTCCAGCTGTCCTTGCACAGAGGCGCTGTCAAGCATCCTGACATATTCTCACCTGTACTCCATGTCTGCAAAGGCTGACTGCCCTCCTCAGGGGAAGAGCAAGGCCCCACAAACATCATTTCCTTCAGCATCCCTCCCCTGTCCCCACAAGACCAAGTCCACCCTTGCTTTCCCCGCCCAGGCGGGGGTCTCAGGCCCACCAGCTACCTTGGAGAAGGAGCAGCCTGGGTGTGTATGTAGGTGGACACCACGGTGGCTCCACCCAAGTCTCTGCCACCCACAGAGAGAGAGAAGCTGGACAGCCCCACCCAGGACCTAGGCAAACCCCAATCCCTGCAGCCAACGCAAGCACACCAGGGCAGCAGCAGTCGGAGGAGGGGAGAAGGCTGGGTGCAGGGACGGGGGAGACGCAGATATCAGTCATGCAGACTCAGGGAGGGGGAGGCACACATGGGGTGGCAGAGGGTGAAAGAAATCTCTGGGCCTAGAATTCTGTCCCCAGGCAGAAAAAAACACCAGAACAGCCTTCAGGAAAAGGAGGTGAAGCCTCTTGCCTCAGGTTTTTGTCCTGTCCTTCAAAAGCTGCTGCTCTCAAACACCCAACACCAACGAAAGACTCCAGGCTTTAGAGACTCTGCGCTGCATCCTGACCTCGGCCTTGAGCAGACTTGACATTTAGCATGTGTAGGTCACTCTGTACACGGAGGTCTGAATGCGCTGCATTCTCTTGGGGTTTACCCGCCTCCCCACAAGTGCCGCCCATCTCCCACATTTCCAAAGTTCTGGGAGCCCAAGCCCCTCACCTGGAAACTGATAGCCATAGCTAGGAGCAAATCCAGGGTAGCCGCGGCCGTAGGGTGCCACGAAGTTGGGGGAGCCTTGAACACAGAGAGAAAGACA